CCCATATAATTACTCAACCCGATACCAAAATCTCGATCAAATCCCCAAAATTTGACCTAAGAACTTTCCTCCATTTCCATTTTCCAACCCAAACCATTAGTTAAATGATGAAATCAAAGACATAAACATGGAATTTAACCAAAACTAAGTAAGCATCACTTACCCCAATCACTCCCTTGAAAATCTCTCCGAGAATCGCCTCCCACCGAGCTCCCAAAATCAAATTGTGAAAATAAACTCAAACCCTCATTTTGAAATATTTAAGTTTCTGCCCAGACGTTATGCATCGCGATCGCGGGACCTACGCCGTGATCGCGATCGCGATCGCGAAGAACAAATAATCACAGTCTCAAAAAGTAGTCAATGTGAAGACACTACTGCGAACGCGATGCTCACCCGACCTGACTCTTCACGAACGCGTGCACAACTACGCGATCGCGTAGGCTTAAAGCCTGATGCCCCAACTGACCACTCCTGTACCCAAACGCATGAACTTTCTCGCATCCGCGATGACCTGAGACTCTCAAAGCTTCGCGAACGCGCACCTAATATCGCTAATGCGAAGAATAAATCACCACCTGCTAGCAACAACTCTTCGCGATCACGTCCCTTTCTTCGCGATCACGAAAGAGGATACCAGATACACAGACACCAGAAAACTTCAGCCAACCTCTAAGTCCAAATATTGATCCGTTAACCATCCGAAACTCACCCGAGGCCCCCGGGACCTCAACCAACATATACCAACAAGTCCTAAACATCATACGAACTTAGTCGAGCCTTCAAATCACATCAAATAACGCTAAAACCACGAATCGCGCATCGATTCAAGCCTAATGAACTTTTGAACTTCTAACTTCCACATTCGATGCTGAAACCTATCAAATCACGTCCGATTGACCCCAAATTTTGCACACAAGTCAAAAATGACACAACAGACCTACTCAACTCCCGGAACCTTAATCGGAGCCCGGTAACCACAAAGTCCACTCTCGTTCAAATTTCTAAATTTCCAATTTTTGCCATTTCAAGCCTAATTCAACTACAGACTCCAAATTACAATTCAGACACACTCCTTAGTCTAAAATCACCCAACGAAGCTAACAGAAGCATCGACACTCCATTTCGGAGCCATTTACATACAAGTCAACATCCAGTCAACCATTTCAATTTAAACTTCCAACCTTCAGACTAAGTGTCTCAACTCATTTCGAAACCTTCCCGAAACTGATCCAACTACCCTGGCAAGTCACATAGCAACTGATAAGAATAAAATGAGCAGTTAACGGAGGAACGAAGCTACAACTCTTAAAATGACTAGCCGGATCGTTATAGAAAAAAGAAGAGAAAACTAAAAAAACACATAACAAACAAAGAGGAAAAAAGAAGCAAAACTCCAGAGCAACAAACAACATAAACGAAGAACAAAAGAGAGTAACTTACAGAGAAATATTAACTTGAACATTGTGAGACCCAACAAAGTAGACAATGAAGGTAGAGAAGGGTAACTGAGCTTAGGGAAAATTCTAGATGAAGAAGAATGATAAAGAATTGGGAAAAGGTCCAGATTTATCTTTATACTCTGGTATATAGTTTATATCTGTCCCCCGTTATAATTTTCATCCAAATCCATCCCTACCGTAAATAAAGTATACAAAATTGCCCTCAACCCTAACGTTCCTCCACGGTGGCACTCGATCCCCCTACTAATTTTGACCATGTCAGCAATTAATGGGTCCCACTAAAATATAAGACCCGTCCACAAAAAAAATTGACCCATTCACACTTTTCGTTCTTTACCTTTCGATTTTTTTCTCTTTTCTTTAAATTTGTTTTTCACCACTGATAGTAGCGATGATAGCAGCTCCACCTTCTTCTTGGGCTCGATCTCCACCCGTTCCCTTGTACTATTAATTTTCAACTTTTATTATCTAATTTCATATTTTCACACTTCATCTGGACCGCCTCAAATTCATTAAGGGATTTTGACCAAATTAAATTTAAACTCCATCCTATACCATCAATAAAATTTGTGAGTTGAGAAGGCTATCAGCTTTGTTCTCTTCGGCTTCATTCTTAGATTTATACTTCTTCTCTCCTCCTTTTATTTTGGTTTCTTATTCTTCTTCTTTTTTTTTTCTTTTCTGAAACTCATAAATTATGAAATAACCTTCTGAGTACCTCTAGAAAAAATTGAAATAGGAGAAATTGGACGAAGAATTGAGGGATACGGGAGATGGAATTAATGAATTACCACACCCAATTTGAGGAATCGAAGATTGTTCAAGTTAGAGATGATAAAAGAAAAAAAATTAATAAAATATTTGAAGAGAGAAAATGGAGGCAGATGAAGAGGTAAATTAAAGGAGGGGAGGTGATTATTGTGGACAGACCGACGTTAATATGGTGGTGCTCGGAGAAGATGACCAAATGTGTTGTTAGGAAAGAAGAGGATACAATTTTAGTTAGGAGGATGAGTTTTTTAGTGGATCAATCGGGTAAAATGGGTCAATATTTTTGGGGACGGGTCTTATTATTTTAGTGGGATATTAAATTGCTGACATAGACAAAATTAATCAAGGGATCAAGTGCCACCGTGGAGGAATGTTAAGATTGAGGGTAATTTTTCATACTTTGTTAATGGTAGGGATGGATTTAGACGGAAAGTATAACGCAAGACAGATATAAACTATATACTATACTATAAGGACAAATCTGAACCTTTTTCCTAAAGAATTTGACACTCTAGCCAATAAATATCACTTCTAAGGACACTTCTGTTATAAGTTATGCAAAGTCAAAAATACCCTCAAATGGTCGAGCATCTTTGCTTTTCTATATAATAGAAAAATGTCTTGCACGCATATTACAATTAGGAACAAAAAATGTTATATTAATTATTTCATTTGACAAAAGATATTGGTTTGTTGGCATATAATTTAGTAGCATACATAAAATTATGTGAAAGATTATAGCACGTGCATTAGGCTTACATTACAACTTGAACAAATTTTTGAGTTCATGAAAATAAATGAGGTTTACAATTAGATATTATTTAAATGTTGCTGAGCTTTTATCATGAATTTGATATCTTTAAGAGAAGATCAAAATAACCTTTTAATCTAAATTTAATAATAATAATAATAAATAAATAAATAACTGAAAAAATTTATTTATATTGTGTTTCTCTAAATAGTTGTGTTCTTTTATTAGTAACAATTTCTTTAAAAAAATATTTAACTGTTAGAAAAAAAAATTCAAAGGGTTAGTTTCTAATTGCAAAAACAAAATTATTTGTGAGAGAAAAGATGCAACTTTTTGTTTATTTCATATACGTTTATTAAATAATAACTATTATCCATAGCTATTCAATATCGTTTTATGGTTGGTGAAATGAATATAAATCAATATTGATTTATAAAGGAATAATTTATTTCGTGGCCCCCATTTGTACGGGACATTAGAAAAAGTTAAACTTAAAGGAAGAGTGAATTTTAAAACATCTAATTTTCATGTCCAATAACGTAATAAGTGAGTGACAAGCAATGAAAGAAATAGTCAATAAGCACTATTGAGTCATGTTTATTTGAAACAAATATACATATTCAAACTCCTGAAAATTATTTCTTTTGGAAACGATAGTTCTTGTACCTCTTTATTATTTATAATAATAATAAAAAGTACCAAGAGGGTCTTGATCGTCCTTTAATCAATACTCTTAACACTTGAACAATTACTACATTTTATAAGCTCAAATAATCTAATTTTGTGAGCAATGAAGAATATTATGTTGAATCAACATCAAATAAAAAGAGGCAGTGTAGGTATAAATATGAATCTGTCTCTCTCATATTTATTATATATATAATATGAAGGTGAAAACCCCAAAACTAATAATTACCCTTCTAATAACTGAAACATTGTAAAATAGAAAAACTTGACGCCTACAAACATGAGCTAGCAAATAATCATTTTCTTTCCTACAAATAAGTCTCGATATGATGGTCCATATTGATCATTCATTAAAAGAAATCATACTTTATTCTTTTATATACAATTATTTACTTAAATTTTTGCTTAGATATAATGGTATTATTTTACAAAACCATCTAATACACGACTCGGCATATACGTGCCATGCACACGTCGAGAAATTAGTTATTTCTAAATAAAGAAGTATGATACTTACAGTAGAATAGATAAAAAGAAAATAAACACATAAATTGGGATAGAGGAAATACAATATAGTAGATGATGGATGCGGGGAAAAAATGGTGGTTTGACTTTTCCTTATTATACAAAAAAATATATTGTTGATATCACTAGATTATAAGTCTTGCTAATTTAATTAAAAATAATTATATGAAGGAAGATGGATTAATGTAAAACGTTGATAAATTAGAGAGTTATCATATATTAACCCTTTCTTATTTTTGTTCTTTATTTACACTATTCCTCTCTTGCCTTCAGGGAAAAAGTGATTTTATTGTTTTGCAAAAGGAAATAAATGGCCAAATTATTAAAAAGAGTAGAATATGATATAAATAACAAAAGAAAAATATTCATTAAAAGTGCAAAATGCAGAAGATATTCTTGTTTTTTCAATTAGTGAAGTGTTATTTAAACTTCTAATAGACAAACACTCTAATAATTTTGGTAAATATCTTTTATGCAAAGTATAAAAAAGCCTCAAGAGATAGTCTTTTCCGTTGAGGCGTTTAGTACACTACGTTCGGAGCAATTATATTCTTGGTAAATCTTCGGATCCTCCTTTGTCGATGGCACCAAAATTTCTCTATTTCCCTGTTTACTTGTTGAGCAGAAATATTTTTATGATAATAAGATCGTGGAAAGACTTGCGAAACAAAAAAATGTTACCATTTAACTTACCTATCCAACCAAAACGAATAATAATCACAGTATTAAGCTAACTAAGCTGAACATACTAGAAATAGAAACATGTCAAAGAAGATTAAATAGCAACATAAAATTCTATTGAATTAAATAGCAACATATAATTCTCTTGAATTAAAATTTTGATCCGATAAAAATATCCACCAAGTTCTAGGATATAAAGACTTCTTATCTCACTTCTTAACCAATGGTCTGTAAACGTTCTTTGGTAATATAATGTTTCAAATGTATTTTATAGAATTAATTCCAGGCTTGGGTTATTGACTCTATACATCCAGAGATTCAATGAGACTGCCATCAGGTAAGTGTCAATGTCCCAGATCCCCATCTGCCTTTGCCCGCCAAGAACCATCAGGTTTTATTTCAACTTCTGCCACTTTTTCTCCACAAGTACGCAGCTGTATCACAAAAGCCAAAAAAGAATGAAGTCTTTAAGTTTTACGCACTAATGATGCAAATGTTTGCATGTTATCACGGTCATTCAAAATATAAGCACAAGTAACTGCCAATAATCAGTGAAATTAGTAACCTGAAAAATAAAGCAGATAACCTACTATAACAGGCTACACTATCATAGTATAAGGTTGTTTTACATCGTCAGTGCACATTATAAGGATAACAAGGATAATGGAATTAAGACCATATGCAATAAGTAGCCTTATCTGAGAAGTGAATAAAAAAAGAGAATGACAAGGTTGGAACAGTGTATAATCACAAGAAATAACTAGCCAAACCTGAGAAGTGATCCGATTGAAATATGGATCTATAACGACATCGTCCAGAGAGTAGTTCTTGAGACAGATGGGGCATTGCCACTGCAATCATATGAATGATATCTGTTACTAAATATATCAGCTGTTTACATGACAGAGATTTTGTATCTGAAACTGATAGAAACTTAGATATCAGGGTCCAAGATGCTTGCCTTCCTCGACCTTTGATTCATTTCAAGAAAGATTTCAAGATCAAAGCAACCCATATGGACACAAGGTTTGAATCTTCCGGCAACATTAATTCTCGAACCACTCAGCTGTACATAATGAGAAAATCAAATACTGCGATTCGTACTGTGCCACAAAGTGGTAAACTTGCAAGAAACCAACAAAGAAAAATCAAATCTAATGGAAGGAAATAATACAAATTAAAGACATCCTATCCTCCCTTGATAAGAAATTTATCACATATTAGGAGGAGGAGGAAGTTCATATAAAGCGAGCCAACATCTATCTATTAACACCCTCTGCTAATTTGTGGTCCACCATCTGTCTTTGACAAGGTGATGCCTCAAAGGCATAATAAGTCTAAGCTTTGAAGAAATAGATCCACTGTTTCTTGTTTTAAACAATCATATAAAAACTTAAATCATGTCTGATGCAGAAATAATGCGCAATGCAGTTTTTCTTGTCGCATATGAAGAGACGTCTAGGAGTAAGCTACTGCCACTTGGTGCAACTGCACAATCTGGAAGCTTCAAGCTTGACTGTTACATCATACATACGAAAAAATAGAGAGAGAGAGAGAGAGTGTGTGTGTGTGTGTGAATTAGAGAGAGAGAGTGTGTGTGTGTGTGAGAGAGAGAGAGAGAGAGAGAGAGAGAATCGAGTTGTATGCAGGATAAGGATTCGGCAGTCGAGACATCTATATTTGCTTACAGGATAAGGGGGGAGAGAGAGAGAGAGAGAGAGAGAGAGAGAGAGGTAACGATATCTCCCACAGAATAAGCAATTTTTGTGTAATGCAACTATAGCATTTTAGCTGCTACCTAGGTAGTGAAAAAAAGAGGATAACAATCGGTATTTGCTTACAGGGCATCGAAGATTGACAGGAACAAAATCCGTAACCACTGCTTCGAGGTCAGGGTCGCTGTCAGCATTTTCAGTGGCTGTTCGACCACCAACACAACGACGAACGCGAGCAAGAGCATCTTCAAATATCTCACCATCAGGCTCCTTACGGATCATGTTTAGAATCTACACAGAAAGGATAATTTTATTCAGACACCATAAGAGTCAATAACAGGACCAAGGCACTTGTACATGTCCATTATTAGTCAACCAATATGTAAAGCCATTGTCTTGAATTTTGCTCAAGAGTCAAAGTGGCAACACAACTATGTTAGTTAAACGCAAAACATGTCTGAGAAACAAATCCGAGCGGTCTAGTCTCAGAGATCTGACTCTCTGTAATAACATCAGACACTGCTCATCTAAGGTAGATATAGTGCACACCTCTTAGAAACACACTATGCCGCTAATGGGAAATACTATAAAATAGGGAAAATGATGACAAAATGTGATCGCATACACAATAAATTTTTCCAAAATAAAATTTCAAAACTTCTCTGAAATTCTTAATACGAGATTTGCTTTTGAAACAAATAAGTTACAAGTGTATTAGAGAGATTTGACTACCTGTTGGAAAGTACGGCGCTTTACAAGTCTAACCCCTAAGCAAAAAACACGGGCATCAAGTCCTCCAAATAAAATTTTGTTTATTCCATCTCTGGAGCATTGTGTGATCTGTCAAATAAAGCAAGGAATAAACATGAGAAGTAATCACGGAGAGTTTTGCCTTAGCAAAAAAACAGCATATATATATACAACTAATCTGCCCCTCCCAAAAAGTAGAAGATGGTTGGGTATGCGCAACTGAATACTCACTATTGCACCATAATCTCGACCATTGGCACCCAACAATTGTGAGCCGGTTCTATCTATGCAATGCACTGGAATTCCTGTTGGTTCAAATATAAATGAAGTTACTGAACTGGCAAAAAATATACTTTCTTCATTTACTTAAGCAGGACATCATAGAGCATACCGTTGACCTGCAAATCAGCATGCTGAGGCCACTGCATCTTAAATTGTACCTTGTCATTGAGAAGCAAGCACCAAGCCTGAAAATGTTATAAAACAAAAATTATGAATACAGATTTCCTGCTTAAACTCAAGTCATTATTCAACCAACAACCTGAAGATCGTAATCCTGTTTAGCCAACAAGTTTCTGCCGGCTGTAGTGAGTTGAAATGTTTTCTCAATCCTCTGTTCAATGTTTGTGCTGAAAATTTGCAAATGTAACAAGTGATTCACAAACGGGTCCATTCTCACATCACCACAATATAATGTGAATATGATAAGGCAGTAAGTTCACAGTAGAACAAGCAAAAAGGCAAACCAAAATATATAGCATGAAGAGGACATTGAAGAAGAGGCAGAATAGTCATGCCTAGAAAGCACATACAATATCCTCCTAAGAATAGTTTATATGTTTACAAATTTATTAAAAGCACACCCCCTTAGCCCCAAAAGAATGCCATTATTACTATATAGTTGAACATATTTTTCTTTGACTAAGATTTTCACGTACTTTTTAGAGGCTTTAACTATAATACTATATATTTTAATTTACCTTTTAAATATGTGAATCTAATTTCGAAAAAACTGAGAAATCAACATCCAAAACCCTCATGCCCCAAATCCTGCCATTCTATGGCTTTTGTGATCAAGGAATTAACACCTTACACATTGAAAACTTAAACCCAGCAAAGAACAGTTTCGTGGACAGAATATCTCAAAAAAATAACAAGGTACAGGTAACTCACCCATCTGCAGGAACACTAGTAAAAGCCAACTTCACAGGATATAAAGGGTTTTCAATCATCTCCCAGAACCTGCATATATACAATTCAATCAGTGAATGTGAAAGCATTTACAATTCCGTATGTAGAGAATGTCAGAAACGAGTCAACAACCAATGTGTCACTTAAGCACCCATATGCACGGAAAATGAAGTGTGCGCTCTAAAGAGTGTAATGAAAACCCAGCTCTGTTAAGATTTTACCGCCACGCATTGGAGATCCCAGGTTAGCATCCACATCTTGTGTATGAAGCTTTACAAATAGCAAATTACAGTGGAGAATTCTGCACTTACTATTGCTTCATTCTCATACATACTACTTAAAATTCACATAATATAATGGAAGACTAAACAATATGATAGAAGAAGAAAAATGAAGATAGGCAACAGTGACGAAATCAAGTAATGATTAGCTTAAAAGCTTTGAATCAGGAGAAAGCCTAAATGTCTCCTATGCCTAGAGATATAAGAGGTACAAAGTGGAGAAAAATCTGAAATGACACTAACATGCTCTACTGAATGGAATAACCCAGTCTGTTCATAGCTAATGTTCTGCCCCCACAACCCCAACCACCAACCCCCCTCCCCCCCTCCCCAAAAAAAACGGGGGGGGGGGGGGGTGGGTGGTGGTGAAGAAAGGATAATTGAGTATACATGACTCCATGGACTATGGCCTTTAATAGGGAAGAAAACAGAATGGGCTTGCATCATAACATCCTGTATTTTAAGAAAATCTGATGAAGCAAGGTGTAAGCACTCTCTTGCAGAAATGCAGGGTAAGGCTGCGTACAATAGACCCTCGCGGTCCGGCCCTTCCCCGGACACCGCCCATAGCGGGAGCTTAGTGCACCAGGCTGCCCTTTTTGATGAAGTAAGGTCTAAAAAAAGAATAAGTGATACTTACGGATCCGCACGACTCAATCTGCATAATTCGCAGTAAAAAGTCTCAGGAGGATTTGGCAGAGCACCCCCCTCGATGGGCTTTTCTGGAATGATGACACAACTCACATGTTGCCATGTGCGGCATCTTCTATCTTCACACTGCATGTGAAATTCCTTAATAAGACACAAATGAATTGTATTGACTAACGATTTAAATTTATGTACCCGGACCATGCAAATAATTTTTACACAAATTAAACCTATTGTAGCTGGTCGCTTGCCTTGTTTATCAGGTTACTAATCCCACTTATTTTGTTACTTCTTGTTATCTTTTGGGTAGAGGCTTAAATTAGAGGGAAAAATCCTTATATAAATTCAAGATGCTTAGCATACAAAAAGCAACTAGGCATTATCTTTGAAACAGAATGTGAGGATGAGAGAATCCTTTCCTCAATCAAACAAAGGGAAACATTTTTGCATGTAAATGCTTATTCTCATAATTAAGGAAGATGAAGGGAATGAGTAAAGAAGTAAAACCTGAATCATTGTTTCAGTTTGTGATGAGCTTCCACATGGACATCGAATCTTCATCTGGTAGGAATCTTCAATTTCCTCTTTTAACTTCACATTATTGCTATCTGAGACAACTTGTGACTTAAACTCTTGCATTTTTCTGGAAGAGGCAAGAAAACATCACTATCACAAAACAAATAATTTCTGAGTGACATGTACGGGGCAACAAGAATCACACTTCTGCTTCATCTAAGTTCACTAAAGCAAAATTAATCAGAAAGTATCGTGTCCACCTATGAATTGAGGAAGTAAAAACAAGCTTATTTCACCATAAAGCTCTACAATAGGCTCTTCTCTCCTGTTAATTTCTGTTGTTCCCTTAAATAACGTATACACCCTAGAATCACTCAGAGCTTCTTGAACATACTGGTGTATACCTGAAACTCATAGGAGCCAGTTAACGTGCCAAGTTCTTGTCAATTGAATCATCACTTCCATCAACTGCCCAAGTCATTGGAAGTGTTAAATTTCTACAAAAAGAATGAAGACTTGTGAAGTCAGCGCCTAATAGTTATTCAATAATCAGAAAATGTTGGTATAGTTTTTTAAGAACAGATGGCGAGACAGCAATACATCAGTGGAAGAATTAAGAAATGTATGTACCGCTCAACACGCTTGCATCTGCAGCGGTTCATCATATTCACTGTATAAAAACCAAAAAGGATGTCAATTTCCTTTGCCAATTTTGGTATCTGATATCCTGGTATGATGTCCCAGATTTTTAACACTTGATAGTATGCGGAGTCCTCTAGCAGAATATCTACGGTCCAAATCAGCTTTAGGCGCTTGACACTGTAGATCTCCAATAGTCCAGATGAATTCCCACCTTTAATGTAGAAAATGTTGTGCTTTCCTGACATGCGCCAACCACTTGAAAGCTTCACCAAAAGGGAAATCGCTTCTTCACGGATCTTCGCATCTTTAATTCGGGCCAGGGATTTTGAGAAATCCTCACTAAAGAGAACCTGCGATTTCTCCAAATTGTAAACAAAATAAAAGAATTAAGCCCTGGAAAAGAAAGAATACCAAAAACACTTACTAGCAAAATCCAAAATCAACAGACGAGCTTTTTGGCCATCCCAAGAAATATAAACAAACATGCGAGAAGTACTTTTAGCCAATATGTTACACAACAAAGAGATGGTAAGGCCTTCAAAATTCCAAAGTAATCAATTGGCTTAAAAAAAGCATCCATTATAGCCAGATGAAGGAGCATACCTTCCACTTGGATGTTTCGAATAGAGGGGAGTCCATACTGAGTAATGTTTCAATCTGGCCAACTTCAATGGTAGCGCTCAAGATCGCTTGAGTCAACCTCTTGTCTTCATGAACATCAAAGAAACAATCCCGGGCCTTGGAGTCAATGACTAATTGCTTCCAAATGGAACCACTGTTAACCAATGTTGTGGCATTCCCTAATATCCAAAGGCAGAACCTGTGTACAAAGCCAATGAAACAACTAAGAGCATGCTCATCAATTGTCTTATCACTGAACCACCACCAAAAGATGGCAGTATAATCATCCTCAACATTCAATAATATTACATGTAACAGTGCTGTCCAATAAATTAGTACCTTGCTCGAGTCAGTGCTACATTTGCTCTCTGACGACTAGAAAGGAATCCCACTAATCCACTCCCATTATCACGAACAGTGGAGATGATAACCACATCTTCTTCACAGCCTTGAAAACCATCAACAGATCGTACATTCACTAAGAAGTGGCTATTGACATCTGAACTATATTTCTGTCCAAGTTTTTGTTGAATTGCAAAAACTTGAGCCTTGTAGGGAGATATACAACCAACAGAAATCTTTTTCCTTGAAGCAACAGATTCTATAGTTAAGGAAAAAATAAATCAAATTTTCCAACACGATTTCCAAGCTAACCAAAATACAGAACTGAAAACAAGAAAAATTCATTATAAGCATAAATGAAGTCCCTGAAAGATGGAGTATTACCTTTATAAAGGTTGGCAACGATCTCAGCAACGACATAAACTTCTGCCATATTTCTTGTGCTGTGTTTGTTATCATACTCCTCTTTTCCACTGCTTATGTTAATAAATGAATAGGAACCGAAAATGTTTCCTTTAAGAAATCTCTTCTCATATATTGCTTCTTTCACATTCGGACCATCCATAATTTTGTTTTCATAGAACTCTCTATTTGGAAACAAACTTATTGCAGGATGCATCCTATATTGAACATTAAGGAGGTGCTTCGTGTGCCCAATCATTACCAGCCTCTCAAATAAGCTCCTTCCAAAGTCAGCCTTCTCAGAGATCTGTCAATAATAGACACTATGTCAATGATAAAACAGCAACGGACTTAATTTTTAGAAAACAAGTATCATAATAACAAGATTAACAGGAAACCTTGCTCTGAACCATTGCAGGCAATGGTTTCTCATCCCCAATAAGTATGGCATGACGTATACCAGGGAGCTGTAGGGGAATAATGGATTCACATTCTTTCAACTGAGCAGCTTCATCAATTACCACCATCTCTCTTCTCATTATCTTTTAAGGTCTGACGGACGAATGTTTTCCGCAGCTTATTCTTCCTATTCTAATCTAGTCTTTGATCATTTATACTTGTAATCCTTGCTTTCTCTTCCTCCTCAACGTCATCCATGTTATGTTCCTTATTTTCTTTTTCTTTTCCCAAGTATTCACGGTATTGCTCTTCAGGATCTTCAAGCAAAGATACCATGGACAGTATATGATTTTTCAACCCATGATCAGGGGACAGAGAGCTCCCAAGAGCCGCAACACGGTTATCAAGAAATACATCGAACAGATCTTCATGATCATCAATGCCCATTCTTTTCCCATTACCAAATAGAACTATATCTCCTAATCCGTATGTTTCATATTCCAGACCATCCTGTAGTAGTTGCATCACCCTCTTTATAATTCCCAAGACAGCAATGTTTGTGGGAGCACAAGTCAAAGTTCTGCATTTCATTTTAAACAGGAGATAAAGTAAGGAAGCAACTGTTTTTGTTTTGCCAGTTCCAGGAGGACCCCAAATTAGATTAATAGAATTCCGGTGACCACGTTCTCTTGTAGCAATACAACTTATAACAGCCGCTTGTTGAGCATTATCTAGCCCAAATGACTCAATGGTAGTCCTATGATTTGATATGGCACTAGCTTTCGTTTCACTGAAGGAGCAAAGAACACACTTCTCTTCATCCTGCAAAATGATTGAAATTTACTAGACCTTAATCAAGGAAAATTGTAGATCAAAACTAATAGGGAAAGAGTCTGTAAAATATTCCTTCAGAACGGCTACAACAAGAGTAAGAGAGACAGAGAGAGAAATTTACTTACAACACTTGGATCAACTTTCAGCACAGTCCTAATTACGTTCAGGTTGGCACTTTCCATGTCTGAATTCAAAGCTTTCCATATTCGCATATTCGTTGTAAGATTAGAAAGGTAAACAATGAAAAGACTGTCTCCTCGTTCACCCTTTTCCCTGTCTGGTTTTTTAAATGGGATAGGTTTCGAAGACAGGATAGATAGCCTGTCTGAACCTTCATATTTTTCTTGTACTAAAGCAATGAGAAATGATCTCTTTGGTCTGTTGAAATCATCAATGCTTTTCGGCCTCACATCTGATAGTGCAATCAGATCTCCAACCTCTGGTTCATATGTTTTTCTAACTCTTTCTCCCTCGCTAGCTCTATTCAACCAAATGTTGTAGTATAAAGCCCTAGGAGGCTTAAAATCTGCTGTTGATTTGACATCAATAACCTCAAGTGCAGGAGATTGCCAGGCAACTCTCACGCCTGAGAGCAAATCAGCATGTGTTTCTTCGATAAGCGGACTGATGAATGAATGGAAGTAATGATCAGTTGACAAGAACGTCTCAGGAATTTGTTTAACCTGACAAATTTGAATACAACTAACTCTTTAGCAAATCGCACATAATATATCAAAGTATGAAAAATACAAATAATATCATTTCAAACCACTATATTTACCAAGGAAGAAAGGAGGGATCTCCAGAAACATCTCTAGAAACATAAATGCTCAGTGCCTTGCTTCCAACCATTGTTTTAAAAGACATGAGCACGAGGAAAGATGTTTTACTTAATAGGATACGAGACATTAGCTCCAAGCATGGAGTAGAGGCCCAATAGACCTCTAAGGGGAGAATCACAGACAATCCCAAAACACACAAGCGTGAAGACAACGTTTAACTTAACAGGAGACGGGACCTAACCTCCAAGCATGAAGCATAAGACCAGTGGATCTCTAAAGGCAGAATTCATAGACAATCCCCAAGCATACCAAAAAATTTCATTTACACCTCGACTGTCATGATTTATAGGCCAGCAAATATTTGTGCAAAATGTGCCTATTAGACATGACTTTGCTATGGCTCAGCCAGGAAATTTAAATAGGGAATTCAAAAAATTCAAACCTGCAACCTAAAGCAATTTTTGAATTACATTACCTAATGTCAAAAGGATTCAAAAGTTAATATATGCACGAAAAAACTGTTTTTGCCCTATTTAAGTAGTATAATTTTGTCACGAAGGCGATTGGATTGAAAATTCATCCTTGGCTGATGATAGATCGCGCGTATTGCCAGAAAATGTGGAATTTTCACTGAAAAAATGAATTTCCAGCATCTAATTTTCTTCAACTCATTTCTCCTTTTTCTTCTCAACACCCTCGTTCATTTTTCCAGATTCAAACTCCATTTTCCGGCACATATACACACAACTAATTTCCAGAAACAGAGCACTACCGAAGTTTCCACATAATGTAACAAATCTCACTGCCTCACAGTTCCCTTTACAGATTCTCTAAACGCAACATTTGCCAAAATTATCAGAAATCTGCATAACTTCGCCTCTGCAAAGTAGTCATTAACTATGCGCTTTGTTCTCTGATATTATAAATCTTATTCAGAAATAATATTAGTATAAAAATCTCAATTAGCTATAGTGTTTTACCACTTCTCTCTCTTTTTTTTTTCCCTTCTTCACTTTTAAAAAGCATGGTACTCAGTGTCTTTGAATAGTTAAGTCCATTTTTCTTCCTCCCCCTCCTCCTCTCTTCTTTTTTTTCTTTTTGTCCATTTTATCCCCCTCTCTTTTCGATGCTTACACTATGTTTGGATCAATGTTACCATCGTTTTATAATATATTATATTGTACTATATTGTATTATATTGTATTATTTTATGAATACTATATTTGAATAGATGTACCGTTTGATGTTGTTAAATAATATTTTTGTTATTTGTTTTGACTGTATCGTACTATACTGTAACTGAAATACCCCAATGTTAAATAAAACTTATCAAGAATTATACATAAAAATAATTTAAGACAACCTCTTTCTACTAATTTATCATTAATTACGTGGCTTGGAAAGAACTGGAAAAAAAATTAACTAATATTAGCGACAACAAAAAAATTAAAATGATAGAAAGAGACCAAGAATCCAACGGAGACTTGGATAAAAAGAACGGGGCAAACTAAACTCCAGAAAAGATGGAAGCAGACAAAGTAGGCCAACAGGTTGGAGATTTGGAGTTTAAAATAAAAAAAATTAAATGATAAAATAAAATTATAGAATAATAAGTAAGGGCATAATTGGAAAAGAAAATAGAAAATGATCCCACCACACCAAATTGGTTATTTCGTAAAATCGAACTTTTAGTTGTTTCGGAACAATGAATTTAACAATACGATACAATCAATTTTAAATAAACAATCAAAACTGAGATAACAATACAATACGATACAATGCGTAACAAGCATCCAAACAAGCTGTAAATGGCATATAAGAAAAAAGAAGAAGAAGCTGGTCTGTATCTTTTTATTTTTTTATTTTGTGCCACTTAGAACTATGATAACTGGTGGCTAATACCGCCTTAACTAATTTCAAGTGGTATCAACACCACCTTCTACAACAAACACCATTAAACTCTTGACAACTGGTGACCACGCGCTAACACATCTTAAAATTATACTATAAGAGAAAATTATTTTTGTAATATCAAAGAGACCACTAAGCTCTTGATAAGTGATGTCCACGCGCTGACACTTGTCAAAAAGAAATCCTATGAAAGTGAAAAAACTATTTTTCTAATGTCAAATTAAAGAAACATCCCACCTTCCCAAAAACTAGCTGTAGGCTTGTAGCAACGCTCGAACCTCTTCCAGCGACAGCGAGCATGAGTTAAGGTTGAGGGAAGAAGAAAAATAATGAAGAGAAAGAAACTAACCAAACAAATAAAAAACACCAATGCTTTCTACAGCTAGAAAAGAAACTGTTGGGACATAATATCCTATTGTACCACGGAAGTGGTCGATTGTAGTCTAGTCATTTTGGTCTTAAATAGTTCGGGAAGTGGGGTTGAAGGCAGAAGAAATAATTCTTAAAGATTCTAAATTCTAAGTTATATTTTTAAATAGTACTGTAAGTAGTTCTATAATAATTTGAACTATAATATGAAAATTAGTATAAAGTATATGACTGAAATATTCAATAACAATTTCTAGGCATGCATATGGGCAAGAAAGATTGGAACCTTGTCTTTGAGAAGATCTCTGTTCAGGACATCAGCTAAAGACCAAGAAAAAATCACATCTATCAAGCCTGGAATAATTACTCCTTCTGTTTTTTCCCTTATTCGAACACCTTGTCCTGTTTTCTCTCTTGCACAAACACATTCCTCTTCTTTGTGTGGAACAATATTTTCTTGCTTCAATGAAGCAAGTTTATCGAACATGGGGAATATTGTAAGTAAATAAATAATATTTTAGAATAATACTTTCGTTCAACTTGAAATGTGCATACAAGAACGGATATACATATAGAGTAGGAAAAAGTGCGTTTCCTACCCTTTTCTGGTATTAGGATTAAATTATTTATGTTGCAATCACTAGTGATTAAATCAAGGAAGATGAAGCAAATGAGATTTTAAAGGAAGTGAAAGGGCTTGCAATTTATAAGACGCATGCAGTGGAAGAAGTGAAGTCATAAATGCATGGGGAAATGCGACTTTAGGAATTGTTTCGTTTTCTTCGTTAGGAATTGAAGATACTAATTAGGCTTTACATTTTCCATGATCTCCTTAATTATATTCTTCTCCTCTATCACTTTTCTCATTTGCCATGCACGAGGTGCACTTAGCTATATATAATAATTACTCACTAAAAATTTGTACTCCTATTATATTTTTCTTTGTCGAAGTTATCTCTTCTTTCTCTAACTAGGGATTAGAGGTGTTCATAAAATTCCGAAAAATCGAACAAAACCGAAAACCAAATCAAACCGACCAAAAAAACCGATACTTTTTGGTTTGGTTTGGTTTTGGTTTTGAATTTTAAAAACCGATCAAATTTGGTTTGGTTTTGGTTTTAATCAGAAAAAACCGAAAAAAACCCGAACCAAACCGACTATAGGACTAGCTTTTTCAAATTTATTATTACATCTATATATATGTGTATTTTTATACAAAGTTTCAAAAATTTAATGGTAAATATTAATAGTTTGCACTTTTAGTATAATTATTTACCTTTACATTCTAGTTTGATTGGTAGTTTTCTTTTGTTACGTGTAAGAATCCATTTCGTGTTAAAAAATAATATATTTTTAATTGAGTCCTTAAATTATTCATCACTATTTGATTCAATTATCACCAATATATCTTGGTAAATAATAGATTTCTCAAAGGGCAATTGATTTGATAGTGTTACGTTGAAAATGTGGTCGCCGGAATATGTGTTTGGTAGTATATGTCTTATATTCAAGAAAAAACCGACAAATAACCGAAAAAATTGAAAAACCGACAAAACCGACAGAAACCGAATCGAGAAAAAACCGACTTAAATGGTTTGGTTTGGTTCTAATATTTGAAAACCGGACTTACTTGGTTTGGTTTCTTTTTAGGGAAAAACCGATCCATGAACACCCCTACTAGGGATGTAAGCTTCGGTGTAGGGGTGTACATGGACTGGGTTGGTTCGGATGTTATCAAAACCAAACCAAACCAACTATATCGGTTTGGATTGGTTCGGTTTTGTCGGGTTTTTCGGGTTTTTTTGTTACATGAATATTATTTCAATCTTACTTTGTTAAAATTATAGATAAAGCTTTGATAAGTGAATATATGTTTAGTAAATATGGAAAAAAATTGACAAACATATGATCTATTAAAATATTTTTATGGGAGAATTTTTTTAGTAACACATGATAGTTATTTTCTTAGTTGTCTAATAATAATTTTTCGTTAATTTACGCTTTCAAGGTTAATACATGAGAGGATTCCAAATATTTCAACATTTTCTAAAGAAAATTCACTATAAAGTCTTAAAAATATAAATAAAATTTATATATTTATATGTCGGTTTGGTTCGGATTTTTTTACTTAATACCAAACCAAGTCAAACCAAACCTAATCGAGTTTTTTAATCGGTTTGGTTTGGTTTTTCGATTCGGTTCGGTTCGAACACCCTTACTTCGGTGCAGACTTCACAGATAAAACACACTGTTAACTCGGTAAATTTTAACCTACATGGTAACCCTTTTAAAAAAATGTTTCTCTTTCTGCTTTTTGCTTTCAACTAATCTTTGGATTATACATGCTAAAATCCTTAAATTGTCTGCAATCTCTACATTTTGACGAAAAAGGAATCTATACGTCCAATTGCACACGTGACACGTTATCATAGATATCTTTTTATTTCTCGTTTCTTTTTTTTTAATGCATAAATAATCGTACAGGTACCTGAAATGACAAGTTTAAATAAAGAGAAATATAAGTTATATAGAGATCGCAATATATGGATTATTAGTTATTAGTACCAAAAGAAATCGAGGAGTAACTTCTCTGCCTTAATTGATTGAATTATTGTCATAATTTATGCTAATCTCAGGCGTACCATTGGAGATACTTCAGCCACATCCTAATCCAAGGTTGAACAATGAGGTGCTAATTATGCTGCTCATAAAGATTAGCACGAGGACAGATATTAACGGAGGCCCCGTAAACCGGAATCCAGCACGAGGACAGATATTAACGGAGGCCCCGTAAACCGGAATTCTGGGTCCGCCTCTGATTCCATTGGTATGTAAAGTAGCAAATTCAACTATCAGAAGTGCTAATTATGCTGAATGAGATGAAGTCGCTACATGCATCTGGTTACCTCTTCATAAAAGCTGTGATGAAAAAGAAAACCGAAAGCATCTCTCTCAACTTATCATAAGAACTTGTCAACTGGGTTAATTACATGACACGGATATCATACAGAGCTACAACTTTGCATCCAATGGAGAACAGTTATGAGAAACTGCAAAACAACAACTTTACAAGTGTAACAAGTAAAGTTCATTATTTAATAACTATGTGAAAACAAGCTAAAATAAACAGACAAATGCAAACCAAAATCATGATACTCTATTATGTAAATAACTATTCAATCTCCTTTCAACAAGAAAAAGGAAATCCATTAAAGGGTACAGAAACCTCAAGAAGGGCTATGCAAAAATCAAGAAGACGGGGCAAATAGATATGGATTATTGGAGTGTGGTACAAGTTTAGCATACATGGAAACTATACAGAGTACACCAAGTATAATTGAATGTACCAGAGCTTTCAAGAATGGCAACAATTCCACTGAAAACTTATTCAAAGTAATTTCCTTTAGTAACAAGAACATATACCTGGAAGATAACAGAATCATGACACCAGAAAGCTCTAAAAATTTCAAACATATCTATCTTGATCTTGTTGCAATTTCATCTTTAAATCACATCAAGATGAACTTTGAAGGAGTAGGGAAGGCTACTCTAGCAATTCGGATTATGATGGGCTCTTAAAAAACCTTATTCAATTCGTCAATCCAGCTAAATCAAGCTTAAACTGTATCGCAATCACATTAATTGGGCTTATTTTTGGTTGGAAAAGGAAATTATATATGTAATTTATGCATCAGTACTGGAAGAGGTACCAATAACAGTGCCTATAGTCACAGGATCATTACCCAGATTGTCCAAAAGGTAGATTAGAGTTACTCCTAACTATCCGATTAAAAGAAGTTCCTTACTTTGTCTGCCTCCAAAGCTAATGAGACAAACATGGGAGGAACTGTCAACTACGACTTAAAGTAGTTGTGGCCAGCTTTTAACTACCCTGCATCCATTTTGTTCCATCTGTTACTTCAATATTCAAAGAATCATCATACTCACATGTTAATCCAACTCTTCACGAGGAGGTTCAACTAATCCACTATGTTCAACTTTATACATGCCAAAAAAAAAAAAACTTTAAAAAAAATTATAAATAGAATAGACCACAGCAACTCTGGACTCATGCATTTATATTTTTGTATCTGATCATGTATGGTAACCCTGTTTATATACTGTTTGACAACCTAACACACCCAAGGGTGGATGCAAAATTAAAGCAATAACCTTTTTTTTCATCGGTATTCAAGACCAGAAATGCTTAGCGAAACAGAGGCGGAGTTCATATTCACAAGCACATGATAAACATAAAAGATAGTAGTAAATGAATAAACAAGCTAAAATGGAGCGAATTGCAAATTAATACTCATTTTATGAACAAAGACTATGCATTGGATATAAAACAAAAGCACATGATCCTGTATACCGTGGGTTCCAAAATTTCCTTAATTAGGAGCTTCTTTTATCTTCTTCCTAATACTGAGTCAAATTCAGCCGAACAAAAATTCTAAGAAGGAAACAGAAACAGCAAAAGATCGTGAAAACAAAAACTGAATTTAAAAAGCCCTAAGCTTATCCTCTATGCCGTGGGTATCAAAATCATCATGATCCGAAATCAAAGATCCGAACCCGATTAATCAGGGTCCGGAGCCGGATCGATAGCGGTAGAATTTGCCAAAGACGTGAAGAGCTGTAACGAAGCCGATGAAGCAGAGGCTCATAACTAGGACGACAGTAGGGCTGATCTTGAGACCTGGCGAATCATCGGTGTAAAATCGGAGCATGTTGCTAGCGTTGCCTGACCCAACGGCAGCGCCAGAGCTTCCACTTGCGGAGGAAGAACCACCAAGCCTGCGGCGGCGCATGCCGGCAGTTGCGGCGGCAGAGCCACGGGGTGCAGCGGTACCCGGACGGGTGCTGGAGGAGGAGGAGGCGGATTGGGATGAAGAAGAGCCTCGCGCCATATTTTGGGTGTTAGTTATCTAGAAGGTGGTGCAAGTGCGAAGAGTGATGAAATTTGACGGAATAGGAGAGAAGGTGAAAGTGTTGTGTAATTTAATGGGAAATTTAGGGGCTGTTGAGATGACGTGTGAGTTTTCATTAGTTAGGCTGGTAGTTACGTGGATAAACATGAGTGCATAACGCAAAACTAAAATATTTTCTTTTTTCAACCACAATAAAATAATATTTTTTCAACCACAACTTTAAAATATTTTTTTAAACTATATTTCATGCTGGACAAAATTATAATGCATAAGATGCTTTTTTTTTTAATTTACGCACGAACAATATTGGTAGACCAAAACAATCTTAAAATATTCTTTAAATATATTTTATACTAGATAAAATTGTAATTTAAAAGATGCTTCTTTTTAATTCACTAAATTACACACGAATACAATATTGGTAGACCGAAATAATCTTAGAATATATTTATTAAAATATATTTCATGCTGGACAAAATTATAATCTATAAAATGCTTCTTTGTAATTTACTAAATTACCCAACTAAGAAAGAGAGAAACCCTTCAAAGTCCTAAAAATAAGGAGCGCCTACGAGTTTACATTGGACACCTACAAGGATTCAAAGACAAAAACCTCATACTTTAAACAATTAAAGCAAGTGGAGTTTTTTGGTATGGTAGGTATTTCTTTTTTAAGTGGCCAAAAAAAAAAAAATTAACGAAAAGAAAAAAAAGGATACAATCTTGTTTACCCTTAAAATTGGGTAACAATTAAACTTATAATGTGATTTTATGGACACGTGATTTCACCTAATACCAATTGATAAATGTAAAGACTAGTAATAGAAATCAACAATAGGATAAAGCAAACCAGTGTTTGAACGAAATTCAGCCCTCGAGCTTGAATATCCTCGAACTGATTTTTGCAAGAACAGTTAAAATATAACAAGCTGATGAACAAGTATATGAACTAAAGAAAAGGCGTTATATTTCTTTTATATCTCAGAGTGTCAGGTGTCTACAAAATGATTAGAACCCTCTTTATATAGTAGAGGAATCCTATCTATGGCACAATTCTCATTACGGAAGTAAATCCCATGATTAGCCTAAACAATCGCCCTTGATTTGATCTGTTCCGGGATTTTCGCCATGATCTTCGACCGGTCACGGATATCTCGCTTTTCTGTTATTGCGCTTTGCTCGAAGTCTGCCATATTTGGTCTCGATCGCTGCTGGCCTTGATCTCGACAGGCACCTCGAGTCTCCTTTTTACCTTACCTTGATTTGCGTGTGTGGTCCGGACCTATATCCGAAAAGCCTTCTATGTGAAAATATGAGAAATAGACATTTCTTGAGTTAAAATTTGATTATGGTTGACTTTGGTCAACATTTTTAGCAAAGGACCCGGATCCGTATTCCGACGATCTCGGGAGGTCCGCAGTAAAATATGGGACTTGGGCGTATGCCCGAAAATGAATTCCGAGGTCCCAAGCTTTAGAAATCAATTTTTGAAAGAAATTGTTTTGCTGAATTATCTAAGAAATGAAGAAAAGAACAAATGTTTAAAACCATAGGTATCGGGCCCGTATTTTGGTTCCAGAGCCTGGTACAAACTTGTTGTAGTATTTAAATGATAACTGTGAAATTTGGTGAAAAACGGAGTTTATTTGACGTGAGTTGGACTTCCGATTGAAGAGTTATGAACTTTAAGTGTTCTTGATGAAAATGTTGAGTTTTGAGGTTTAATTCATGGTTTTACATGTTAATTTGATGATGTGATCGCACGAGTAGGTCCATATGATGTTTTTGAGTTAGTATGCACATTTGGTTTGGAGTCCCGAGGGCTCGGGTGAGTTTCGGGTAGGTTCCGGGATGTTTTAGGCTTAAAACATAGCTGTTGCAGGTTCAGAGAAGTTGCAGATCTCTGAACCCGCCAGTGCGGTCCGCGATGATTTTGTGCTGCCGCGGAGGGGCCTTTGCGGCCGCAAAGGATTTTGTGCGGTCCGCGGTGGGGGCTTTGTGGCCGCACTCGATTTTGTGTGGTCCGCGGTGAGGAAGAATCCGCAGGTTCACTGGTCTGACTTTGGAAGCCTATATCTTTTCATCTACAAGGAATTTTGAGATGATTTAAAAACGAAAGTTGTATCCCTTCGTGTCTTGTTTCCAGGAAGGTAAAGAAATCACAATTTGGACATATGTAGTAAAAGTTATCGCCAAAATACTAAAGCATGTCATTGCAGTCAACGTTGTGAGCTCCGCGGCCGCACTCGATTTTGTGCCGTCCGCACAGAGGGTCTGAGATGGGTATATTTAAATGGGATTTTCAGTTATTTTTCATTTTTCAAAACCCCAAAAACATAAGAGGCGATTTTTCAAACAACCTTTCTTCTCCAAGACATTAGTAAGTGATTTCTAACTCATTTTCTTTACTCCTTAACTTCTTTTTACATGATTTCATCCTAGAATCTAGGGTTTTCATGATGGAATTGGGAATTTTGGGTAAAACCTAAGAATATTGAAATTTGGGGATTTACACCTCAAATTGAGGTCGGATTCCAAAACCAATTATATATCCGGGCTCGGGGGTGAATGGGTAATCGGATTTTGGTCCGAATTTCGGGTTTGGACCAAGCGGGCCCGGGGTCGATTTTTGAATTTTTGGAAAAAACTTTAGAAAACTTATTTCCATGCACTAGAATTGATTCATTTAGCATTTATTGATATAATTAAGTAACTTGTGGCTAGATACGAGCGAATTGGTGGTAGAATCAAGAGGTAAAGCGATAGTTGAGGCTTGAACTGTGTTCGAATCGAGGCATCGAGGTAAGTGTTTGGTCTAACCTTAGCTTGAGGGATTAGGATTGTGTCCTATTTGCTATGTGTTATTTGCTGAGTACGACGTATAGGCATGGTGACGAGTATCTATACGTTGGTGTCAAGCATGCCCGTGAGTCTTATGTTATGACTAATGTGACTCCGTTTGTATTGTTGATGTTTAATGTGGTGGCTGCTATTGTTGGGCAAGGTTTGTGGAAAGAATATTGATATTTCTACATTGAAGAGCGTTGGCTCAAGTTGTAAAGTGATTTGTGGAAGTATAATTGGCAATTGAACCTTATCGGGCCCGTATTTTGGTTCCAGAGCCTGGTACAAACTTGTTGTAGTATTTAAATGATAACTGTGAAATTTGGTGAAAAACGGAGTTTATTTGACGTGAGTTGGACTTCCGATTGAAGAGTTATGAACTTTAAGTGTTCTTGATGAAAATGTTGAGTTTTGAGGTTTAATTCATGGTTTTACATGTTAATTTGATGATGTGATCGCACGAGTAGGTCCATATGATGTTTTTGAGTTAGTATGCACATTTGGTTTGGAGTCCCGAGGGCTCGGGTGAGTTTCGGGTAGGTTCCGGGATGTTTTAGGCTTAAAACATAGCTGTTGCAGGTTCAGAGAAGTTGCAGATCTCTGAACCCGCCAGTGCGGTCCGCGATGATTTTGTTCTGCCGCGGAGGGGCCTTTGCGGCCGCAAAGGATTTTGTGCGGTACGCGGTGGGGGCTTTGTGGCCGCACTCGATTTTGTGTGGTCCGCGGTGAGGAAGAATCCGCAGGTTCACTGGTCTGACTTTGGAAGCCTATATCTTTTCATCTACAGGAATTTTGAGATGATTTTTAAAAACGAAAGTTGTATCCCTTCGTGTTCTTGTTTTCCAGGAGGTGTAAAGAAATCGACAATTGGACTATATGTAGTAAAAGTTATCGCCAAAAATCTAAAGCATGTCATTGCAGTCAACGTTTGTGAGCTCCGCGGCCGCACTCGTTTTGTGCCGTCCGCACAGAGGGTTGAGATGGGGTATATTTAAATGGGATTTTCAGTTATTTTTCATTTTTTCAAAACCCCAAAACATAAGAGCGATTTCAAACAACCTTCTTCTCAAGACATTAGTAAAAGTGATTTCTAACTCAATTTTTTACTCCTTAACTTCTTTTTACATGATTTCATCCTAAATTAGGGTTTTCATGATGGAATTGGGAATTTTGGGTAAAACCTAAGAATATTGAAATTTGGGGATTTACACCTCAAATTGAGGTCGATTCCAAAAACAATTTATATATCCGGGCTCGGGGTGAAGGGTAATCGGTTTGGTTCCAAATTCGGTTGACCAGCGGGCCGGGTCGATTTTTGAATTTTTGGAAAAAAACTTTGAAAACTTATTTCCATGCACTAGAATTGATTCATTTTAGCATTTATTGATATAATTAAGTAACTTGTGGCTAGATACGAGCGAATTGGTGGTAGAATCAAGAGGTAAAGCGATAGTTGAGGCTTGAACTGTGTTCGAATCGAGGCATCGAGGTAAGTGTTTGGTCTAACCTTAGCTTGAGGGATTAGGATTGTGTCCTATTTGCTATGTGTTATTTGCTGAGTACGACGTATAGGCATGGTGACGAGTATCTATACGTTGGTGTCAAGCATGCCCGTGAGTCTTATGTTATGACTAATGTGACTCCGTTTGTATTGTTGATGTTTAATGTGGTGGCTGCTATTGTTGGGCAAGGTTTGTGGAAAGAATATTGATATTTGTACATTGAAGAGCGTTGGCTCAAGTTGTAAAGTGATTTGTGGAAGTATAATTGGCAATTGAACCTTATAGAGCATTGGCTCAAATTGTGAATCAAGTTGTGAAGTAAATGTGAAAATGAGAAGAGGATTATGGTATTGATCCCTCGCCGGGACGTTGTTTCTTTTAATGTTGTTCCCTTGCCGGGATGTTGTTGTTTTGATATTGTTCCTTTGCCGGGATTTTATTATGATTCATTTATTCCTTGCCCTTATTGTTTGTGTTTGTTGTTTGGGTGAGGAAGAGTGTAAAGCACGAAGGGTGATGCCGTGCATTATTTTGGTGAGAGAGTGTTAAAGCACGAAGGGTGATGCCGTGTATTATTTTGTGAGGAAGAGTGTAAAGCACGAAGGATGATGACGTGCCGCACGATGTACCATTCTGTGCCAATTATATTGATTTTATGGTGAGGATGAGAATAAAAGCACGAATGGTGATGCCGTGCAGTTTATATTGATTTTT